TTGTCAGAACTGCGCCATCAATGGATACTGATACCGTCGACCTTCCACAGTTTATATGGCACTAGGAGCTTCAAAGTGAAAGGAGAGCAACGTGGTCCTTCATAGAAACATACGTATGAGAGGAAATTAACAGTCTCGCTGACTCAAATGTTAATCGGAATAACGGAAAAAAAAATTCCAAAAATTTACAAATCAGTCGACTTTGAGCATTCGAAGAAAATATGGGTGCATAGTGTTGAGGACAAATATGAATTCGCTAAAGGGGACAGATACCACGAAAATATTGAGGTCGAAACCGGATAAAAACGGAATTTGTTTCCATCCATTCGGGTACTCATAGGACTCCGTAAATTAGACAGATTTTCCATCGGCACTTTTCGAGGCCTCGGCGCTTCCTTTCATCTTCTCCGCACTTCTCGAGGCCGTATTGCCTTCTTCTACGTTCTTACCACCTTTTTTCTGCAAGAAAACATATTAAGAAAGTACTTGAAAGGTTTTTCTATCCGACTTCATAAGAGAGCACAATTCATGAACGAATGACTCAACTTATGAAGCGCACCCACAGTCGCATAGAGGTGTCTCGCCAGACACGTACAGGGGTGAGCACGCATGCAAACGCATTGCAAGGCTGTGCGTAGCGGAGGACACAGAGGACGAGGTCTGAACGCGACCGAAAAACGACGCAAGCTCTTATTGCTCAACATAAAATGTGACCAAATAATATAAGACCAGTTTATAATCAGTACTCACTTTGCATTCGTAGCAAACTATACAAATAATGCAGCAACAAATAAGTATGATAACAACAACAATTGCGATATTCAGAAAGAGATAAAGAAGTATGTCTTCTTTGGTTCTAAAAAGGTCTTAGGCAGAGTACATGATAGATCGTTTAACTTCAAGCGCGAGCCGATGATCCGAAGTAGCTGTTCTATTACATGCGATTACTGAGGGTATGTGTATATGTATGAGGGATGTACAATATATGAATGCGTAGGTGAGTATGTAAGTATGGTGATCGGAAATTTATAACTTCTGTTGCCCTAGACAGAGCGTCAGAGTTCGGATGGAGTACAGGCGGTCTCTAGGTCCGGGGAAACAGAATTGAGAATTTTTCTCAAGAGCGCACTTTCGCAAATACACAAACACACCGCCACAACAACATGACACCTAACTAATTTAGTTTAGTTTAAACACCTTTAATAATAGTAGCGGGATTATTTTGCATTCAAATCGTAGATAATAATAGTAGTTTTCACGAATGCTGAGAATGAAGGCGTTGACAGAAATACGTAGCATTCTGCTTATGTGTTCACATGCGCATATAGGCTAGAAAGAGTGTGAAGAACAGGTAAAACGAAGTCACCCAAAACGCCTGATCACCGTCATGTACTTCGAAGAAACGGCTTAATCGGACCTTGACCAGGTAATAGCCGTGGGTCGCATGTGCCTGGCACCACCCGGTTTTCAAAGTAGCAATCAGAAAGCATGGCGAGAGACCAAACGCTGTTAGCTCATAGGCTGCTTTCATAGTCCACGATTTGGACCGCGACCGATCGCGCAACCGGTCGCGGCCAAAATCATGAACGAATCATGAACGCGACTGGTCGCGGGCCAAATCGTGGACTATGAAAGCAGCCGTGGCGGCTTGATCACTGCACCTAGCTCACCTGGGCCCCGAAGTGCCTGTTGCACGGAAGCAATGAGAAGCGATCGCAAGCCGGCTCGACATGCGTTGAAGCCTTTCATTGAGGCAGTGCAATCAATGATGCCCTTGAAGAGCTTAAGGGACCCCTTTGTACAGATGACGACGGCTCGCCAGATGCAGGCATCGGCGGCATTAAATTATTCGCATAAAAGAAGATCTTACCACAAATTTCGCACGACAACCGGATTGGCTGCGTGGATTTCTGCATACTGCCTTAACCATAAATTAGCCCTCCTAATTGCGAATGCTATTGCAGTAGCCCTAGCGGTAAAACAGTGGAATGTTTCCTTTGCGTAGTCTTCTGTTTAAAAGAAAATATGCAAGTAGAAAGCCTTACATGCCAAGTTTCCTCAATTCGAGGAGGTCGGGATCAGTGTCGTTGAATTTGTCATTCCCTGGAGCAGGTGCTGGCTCCAAGTTATTACGCAGACATTTCAGAAGTTCATCGGTCCTCCTACTACGAAATGCGTATTTCCAGTTGCCTACGCTCGGCAAAGAAGGCGCACTAACAGCACTTGAGTCCAGGGTTGCC